CCCCCGACGCCAAACAGGAAACAGTTTTGCGGGCAGTAAACTCGAGGAGTGTTTGTTTTTTTCACTTGAAAGCACCAGGCGGGAGGAGACTAACAGTCCCTGTGGCTGGGAGCGCCTGATTGGATCCTGGAGAGGAAGCTGGGCCGAGGTGTGGCTGGAACATATTTATGAATTAGTCCGGGGTGGAGCAAGGAGACAAAACAACGACTCTGTCAAAATTCTAATATACTTTTCTTAAAACTCGACAAATGTTCTAAATGTTCTGATTGTTCACCAAAGTCTAACACGTTGTTCTCATAACTTCGTGAAGAAATCGAAACGTCTCCCGTCTTCAGACTCTCCCCTAAAATAATCTCCCAGCATGCCTCTGGCCCGGCCCCCCCGCAGAGCTTCCTGTGTGTAAACTCTGTGTGTTGTTGTTGTTGTGTGTCAGTGTTTGTTCAGGGCGCTGCGTGGCACCCAGCCCTCGGCGGCCGGGGAGTCGCTGTTGGCCGGCCGGTAGACGAGACTCTGACCCTGCTGGTTCGATGCCAGGATCTGAACTTTCTCTCCACGAAACACCGAGATCTCGTCCTCCCGCACGGCCACAAAGTCTGACTGAACCAGAACCAGCTCCTAAAGGTCAGAGGTCACAGTTAGAGCTCAGCTAGGCTTTGACAGTCATACGCAAAGAGACCGAAACTGGATGGGTGCGTTTTAATACTCATACTACAAAACCATTTTTTCATTATTTTTGTCAAAAGTTATAATAAGTGTCACATTTTCTATTCATTTACTAATAATTGAAATGTTCCACAATTGTTTTTATTATCTCATCATTTAGATGTTATTCCCTAAATCTCAACACACCATGACTTCACTCAACAACCCAACAGTGTAAAACAACTCAGGCGACTTACCTGGTCGTCCTGCTCGTTGTCGGTTGGGGGGGCGTGTCCGTTGGGAGTGGGCGGGGCTGATGGCGGTCGCCCTGACGACAGAGGGCGAGTCACTGAGATCCCGCCCTCTTTCCTCTGGTACTCGATGGGAGACTGGAGCGCTGAGGAAACACAACGTGGTGCGTTCAGGGACTCGTGGAGGAATGCGGGAACAACAATACGGAACATTTTTTGAAGGGATTGTAATGACATCAAGGGTTTCCTCTTGCCACTATAGAGCGGGGTTGACGACACGCAATCCAAAACAATAAGCAGCCGAAGGTTTTCAGTCAAAAAGATGTAATTTATTAACAAAAAAGTATTGACTTGAATAGTCTGAAAATAACAAATCTTTAAACAATATTTCGGCGGTATGCTTTCCTATATAAACTAAACTATACTTTGTTTGCAGTCCAATTTGCAACACTAATTTCTGTCGGCAATTTGCGGTCGAAAAACTGTTCCGCTCCCCGTCTCATCAGGTCTCCGAGCACGCCGGCTGTCCTCAATCACCTCACTTAAATACACACCGGAAGGTACTCGGAAACAGATCATATTTACGATATAAAATAAACAATCACTTCATCAAAACATATTCACCACGGCAACACAAATCACCCCTCCATCACTAAATCATTTATCAAATGATGACTCGAAATAATAACCCTCACTTCTTTGTGGCTCTAACTGGGATTTTTAGATTTTATTTGAAGACGTTTTAAAGTGAAATGTGGGACGTGTTGCTGACATGTATCAGGTTGAGATACTTCAGGACGTTTAAGGGAAGATTTGACAATGTTTTGAATGTAGTTCAGAATATCTTAGAGGATATTTGAGGATGTTTTAAAGAAAGATTTAAGGGTGATTTGAAAATAAATGTCAAACTGTTGTAAAGGGAAATTCAGGATGATTTGAAGGTGATTTGAGGGGATTTTAATGGGGTGTTTGTGGATGTCGTTATCTGACAGGAAGTAGTTGTGACTGTGTTCTCACCTGACAGGAAGTTGTTCTGCGCGTCCAGCAGCGTGCCGATGGTCTCCGTCCAGGTGTTCTTGATGGAGTCGCAGGACGCCTGCAGGGTGAACCTCTCCGGAGAACCTCTGGACCACAGAACCAGCTTACAGGGTTCTCCGTCCACGACGTCCTGCATGGCCAGGTAACTCACCTGCACACACACCATGGTTACTGCCAGTGAAGTGGCCAAATCATAACAAATATAAAACAGAACTCAAAACAAAGTCAGCGAATCTTACGCACGGGTCGGGTTACTAAAGGTCCGGGAAAAAGTCATTTCTATGCATTTTATTTTCTTGAGATCACACAAGCACAACAGTTCCTTTTCCTTTTGTCTTGCCTCGTGTTTACCCTAATGGTAAAAAACCTACCGGGTCCCTTTCCATCACCTCTTTCCCAAATATATAATCACCTTCTCAAAACAAAAGCATGAAACGACTAAGTCGATTAACTTGAATAACACTAGAATAAAAACAAATAGAAACAAAAAACAACAATAAAATAAATGGATAAATATTAAATAATAACAGTCATGCACCACACACACTCGTGTTAACCCAGTGGTACCT